AGAACCCACCTCGCTTTTCCTACTCTAAGCACATTGTTTTGTCCAACTTTATGGAAAAAAATCAGGAGCAACTCATTCATCCTACATTCCTCCATTCCCATAGTGTTTAGGAAAGAGTTAATAAATGACGGGGAGAAAAGATGGATCTTGGAGAGTCTTCCGGAAGGTCGTGGGGAGGGAGAAGTCTCCCACTCTTATTTCAATAGCATCTACCAAGTGAGTGACCTTGTATGACGCCGGTGGCCACACTTGTGCACTGTGTGTGAACATAATATTGTCAATCTTTGCAGAGCTCCGTGAGCAGGGGTCGCTGCTATCCCCATTAGATGGGTGAGAAAATGGAAACTCAGAGAGGGCCCGTGACTTACAGCTGGTGGAACCTTGGCTTGACCACAGATTTGTCCAGCTTCAGAACCCAAACTGTTAACTACTGCCCTAATTTCTATGCCCAAAGGGTATATTTAATAATTTGCCTAAAAATAAAGAGAAGGGGCCCTGGCCAGGTGACTCAGTTTGTTGTAGTGTCAACCCATTACACCAAAAGGTTGTGGGTACTATTCCCCGTCAGGGCACATGCCTAGGCTGCGGCTCAATCCCCAGTCAGGGTGCATAGGAGAGGCAACTGATTGATGTTCCTCTCACATCAATGTCTCTCTCTCTTCCCCTTCTTCTCCCTCTAAAATCAATAAACATATCCTTGGGTGAGGATTTTAAAAATTTTAAAATAAAAAATGAATAAAGAAAGTGGGTTGGGAGAATAGAAAATAGAAATTGGTACTTAAAGAAGTTTTGCATGTCTTTGAATTCTTTTCTTTGGCTTTCAGTTTCTAGCAAACATGTTGAAGTAAAAGAAGCCTTACCCTGGAGGCAGGCAACACGAGTTCTAGTACTGATTTTCCACTAACTTCTATGTTTGTGGGGTTTGGGGGTATTCTTATATTTTAGAGGGTATATTTTGGGGGGTTTTGTTTGTTTTTTCTTCCTTGGGTCCCTCAGTTTCCTCATCTGGATAAGGGCAGATTGGATGCAAACAGCTCCAGGATCCTTTTTGAATTCCTTGACATCAGGTATGAGAGAGCTGCAATGTAAGTGTCCTCAGTGGGCCACTGAGAGCACCAAGCCTTCCCGACCAGTGTCTGGAGGTGGCCTCAAAAGGGGCCCCTTGCAGTGGGGAACCTGGAAAAACATTCCAATTATCTAACCCACCTTGTTCCATACCCCTCTGGAATGGCCACGCAAGTGTCTCGTCTAAGTCATTCCAGTGAGAACTAGAGTAGATCACTATTGCATTTTCCTGCCCAGCATCCATTCGCTCTTCCTCTAGTAACAGCACCCCAGTTTTCCCTTGAGTAACTATCATTTCTCCATTCTCAGGCCTTGAGGGGCAGGCTTCAGGGACAGGAACATGAAAAGCTTGATTCCCCCACCCACCTCATTCCCAGAGGTTGACTGAAGATTGGACACTGAACCCAAGATACGTTCAATTCCAAAACTTTGGTTGGAGATACTGGTCCTTTCTGCTTCCTTACGAGAAGTCTCTTGGAATGAAAGCATCACAGAGGGATTCTGTGCTAGAAGCTAAGAGGGGACAACTGATGAGAATATTACCCAAGCTCCTGGATCCAGCTATACCTGAAGCATGAACTTTTCAGTTACCTAGGCAAATAAATACACCCCCAGGTTTTTGGAGTTTTTTTGGTACTCAAATGAGTTTGAGTTGAATTAGATTTCAGAAATGACACGTTCTTTGAACTTTTTGCTTTTCTCATCCATACTTGCCCCTTGTTCAGGGTTCCAGAATCCTAATTACTTTTGATGAAGGAGGAGGGGGGAGAGGAAGAGGAGGGGAGGAAGCAGAAGCAGCAGCAGCAGCAGCAGGAGCAGCAAAAGAAGAAGAAGAAGAGGGGGAGGGGGAGGAAGGGAAGAAGAGGAAGAGGAAGAAGGAGAAGGAGGAGGAGAAGAAAAGGAGGAGGCAGAAGAGGAGGAGGAAGAGGGGAGGGGGGAGGGAGAGGACAAGGGGAGGGGAGGGGGGAAGGAATGGGGAAGAAGAAGAGGGAGAAGCTCCATGAAGGACAAGGCCTAATGCAGCATTAGGAAACATAGAACATTATTGCCGCCACTCCCTGCTCCACGCCCATCACAAACATCATTCATTTTTCAGAATCCTCCTCAGTGCAGAATTCTTGGCAGCCATTGCCAGTCATTTCAGCTTGGCACCAAGCTGAAGAGACCTACATCACTGCTGTGTGAGTGGTGCCAGTCCCTGGACTGGGGAGATGGCTTAAATCAAAGCGGAGGATTAATTGCCATGGCCTGTCTGGAAGGCACCAGTTGACCACAAAGACAGATGCAACTTTGATATCCTGGCAAAATCAGGAGTACTAATAGTTAGCCCTCAGCCCCTGCCAGGGTCGGCCCCTGGGGAGAGTTCTCTGCGCTGGTCTCGGAGAAAGAAAAGTGAGGAGTTCAATTAGCTGGCTCTTGGAGCTGAAGCCTGAGCAGAAGCCCGAGCAGAAGGCAAGGAGCTCTGCTACCACTGACCCAGATGGCCAGGCGGCCTCTCAAGGCACCTCGGGGGGCTCAGGCCTGGCCCCACACCCAGTGGAAAGACTGGCCACAGCATGATGGGTGAGCCCCACCCACATGCTCCCTGGTAACCCAGGGTTTCCAGCGCCGCCAACTCTGAGCAGATCGCATTTTCTTAGGCATGAACCTCTGTCAAAAAGTGCTGGTTCTTTCTACATTGGTGCATTTCTAATTCTGATGCTGACGGATGTTTTTCTCACTCTCCCAGAACTCAAAATCAACTTGACATTTCTAAAATTACATTTTGAAGGCAATGAATCTATAATGTGCACCAAAGCCCATGCCAGCTGGGGAAGAACAGCAAGAAAAGAGGAAAGAGAAACATTTCTGGCTCCATCCCTTAAAATGGAATATTCTTTATCTATCGGCGGGGTGAGGGGAGGAGGAGCGGGCGCTTGCAGACCACCTGAACCGGCAGCAAGGGTTTCAGGGAGCAGGTGCTCTCTGAATTTGCCTAATGGTTCCAGTGCAACCGGGGGTCAGAGGGGCCTCAGGACACGGCACGAAAATGAAGTAAAGACTGGGTATGATGAGGGTGGGGCACCTTTGTCTTCTTCATGCCAGAGATGGGTGCTCTCCACGGCTGGGGAGGCGCCCTGAGGTGGGCCCCCCGAAGAAGCCCCCTGGCCCGCCTGGCACACAGCCTGCTTTAAAGAGAGTCGGGCAGCAGCTGCTTCTCCTTAAACTGAAGAGGTGGCCGAGGCGGCTTTGTGTGAGCCCGGATCAAAACACGCCTATCAAGAGGGATCAAGAGCCTGGCCAAGTGGACTGCAGATGGGAAAGGGAATAGAATTTTTTTTATTATTTAACAAAAATGTAAAGAAAATTCAGGAGAAAATGCCTCCATGTGTGATTCCTTTTACTTGTTGCAAACCTGCCCAACTACCACCATTCTCCTCTCCCCTCTACTCACAGATCAGTTTTAACATGCAGCCTGTTAGTATTTAAAGTGATCCATTCAGCATGGGAGAACCCCACACCCCCTTGCCCTTCCTCCTCCCCCCGCCGAGCTCCCTGGGCCTCCAGCCTGGAGCCAGCCCCTCTTGATCCATCTCCTCACTGCGGCTGCAAACAATTGTGACCCAGGATGGAACGAGGAGTCCTTAATCCGCATTCCACACAGGGCAGCTCCCTTCAGCAATCATTAATCCGGTGCGTACAAGGTGACTCCAGAGCGCAGAGGACAAGGGAAGCAAGAGATTGGGGCAAACAGGGGCCCTGTGCTTTGGGGATGCAATGCCTGGTCGTGGAGGTCGATGCACAGAGCATGGGCCTTAGGAGGCCAGACAGAGCGCCAGGCTTGCACTAAGTGGGAGCCAGAAGGGCGGGGGAGCCGGGGTGGGGGGCGGGAAGCGGGGCGGGGGGAGGTTGTTAGGGAGAGCCAACGATGGTTCCTCAAAGGAAAACCAGGGACTACATTTCGAGAAGTACCTGTGGGTGGGGGGGGATCTGAGGAGGCTCCCAGGGTGGGGAGGGCGGGGAGGGCTGCGAGGGTGGCCGAGGGTGAGGAGAGGGAGCATCCCGGTGGAGTGGGCAGGAAAGGCACAGGCCCAGAGAAGAAGAGGGAGAGGTTAAGGGTGCAGCGAGCCCTCCTGTGCGCCTGAGGGAGGGTAACCAGGCGGGGGCCCTGGGGATCTATCTGGGTGACCTCCAAGACTAAGAAGGCCAGGCTGAGGAACTGCTAAACAAATGAGACTCCCAGGACAGCCCCTGCCAGCCGGGAAGTGACACAGCTACGCCTGCCACTTAACATGGAGTCCCAGGCTTCTTCCCATGTGGGAAAAAGAGACCACCTTCCACTATCCCTGTCTCCTGTCCCCCAGGCTGTCATGGAGAGGACAGTGGCCACTGCTGGGGCTGGGCCTTTCCATGGGGGCAAAGCACAGGCAGCCGGGGGAGGCCAACATTCCTGTGGGTTTCGGGGAGACCCTTTCAGAGCTGGGGACTGAGGCCACAGGAGGGAAGAGGCCTCTCTGGCCCGGCTGAGCTCATAGGACCATTGCCTGGCTAAGCATCAATTCTACCCTTAGTCAGGGCCACTGGCTCATCGAAAGGGCCGTGTGCAGGCTTCTGCAGATGTGTGTGGCCTCTCAGTTAGCATGCCACAGGTCACAAGGGAGGAGAGGAGAGGCACCAGCTCTGGGCTTTCGACCACTGTGGAGTGTCTAAGCCACTTATGTTCCCACATGCAAAACTGTTTCTCCCATCCCTGCCAAGCCAACAAAAGTCCAGGCCCTCCTCCCCGGCCGCTGTACCCGGGGGCTGCACGGGGTCCTGGCAGCAGCTTCATGCAGGTGCAACTGGCCCCCCTGCTCTGTCCCTGTCCAGTCCCTGCCTGCCCCCACAGCACCGCCCCAACTGTGTCCCCACAACACATTATTAACTTGACTTTGCATGTCAAATATCTTTTCCATTTAATTAAAAAAAAACAGTTAATGTCACAAAGGACTCCAGAAATACATGCTTTTGACACTGGGATCTCCTTTCCATAGACAGGTTCATGCAGCAGAGACCAGCCCAGCTCCTCCGCTCGTGGCCACTGGGAAGGAGCTGAGCACAGTGTCTTTGGTTGGCTGGAGCTTCGTCCGGAGCTCGTCGGGAGGTGGCTTGGCAGGCAGAGGGGGTCTCCCTGCAGCCTCCCCCACAGGGGACAGAGGCAGAGGGTATAAGAGGAGGCGTTTCAGCTTCGCCAGCCTCCCACTGCCTCTGAGGCTGAAGACACATTATTTAAACCTAATACAAAGTAGGTTTACGATTTGAACTTGGATCTCACAGTAGCCCAGTGACACATCAGCAGCCACGATGGGGTTTTCGGCAGGAGAACAGCCAGCCTGGAACCTGCTCCTAGACAATCCTGTATTGTTAGATCCACAGGGAGAATACACTAAATTCCTTTATACCAAATAAGAGTAAATAATTATACCAATATAAACAGGGTCATTGACCCTTTCATTTTATTAAAATGGCACGTTAATAGTAAAACAGAATTCTGATCACGTCACCCTTCTGCACGCCCCCAGGCGTGTCGCTGAGGAATGGCGTGTGGGCTCCCTCCTGGAGCCTGCAGACTCAGGCATTGAGCAATTCATGTTCTTTATCAGTTTTCCCAATGGCGTCAGGATTTGATAACGGGTCGAGGTCAGCAAAGAGGCTGAACCAGGCAGTCAGGTCCGAGGCAGGCTTAGCAGGCTCTGGGGAGAGAAGAGGAAACATCAGCTCAGCCACCTCCAAACACCCCGCGTCACTGTGCTGCCTGTGCCGCCACACTCATCTTGAAGAGAGCATATGCTCCATCAGAGACCACTGCACTTCACCTCCAGAACTAAGTGGGGCCCTGGCCATGTAGCTCGGTTGGTTAGAGTGTTGTCCCGATACACCAGGGTTGCAGATTTGATCCCTGGTCAGGGCACATACAAGCAACCAACCAATGAATGGGTAAGTAAGCTGAACAACAAATCGATGACTCTCTTTCTCTCTTTTTACACCACCTGCCTCCTCCAAGATCAGTAAAACTAGTCAGGGAATTCCAGGTCCCTCTGCTTGCTGGCCGAATCACATTTCTCAAGCTTAAAGCTCAGGAAAGATGGAGCTCTCGTGTTAAACCCCACCCGCACCCCACTCCTGTGGTGTCCCCAGTCCACGGAGTTACCTAAAACCTCATACCTTGCCATTCCACCACAGGCAGGAAATAGCCTAGTTATTTCAGAAATCAGACTGCATGGCTGAGGAAGCGAGGTGCCTTCCAGTGTCCACTGAAGGGACCTTTCCCACCCTGCGCGGTCACAAGAAGTATTGTGGCCACTCTTTAGGGCTTCAGAGCTATAGGCCCAGAACGGGGTTGGAGCCTCGGCCTGGGCGCTCAGGGTCACTGCCCTCCTCAACCCTCTCCATCAGGCAGGGGAAGGAGCCCCTGACATGCCTCCCGTTCCCCCACTGGCTCTAAATCGGCCCATCCCCTTCAGCCTCACTGGACTGTTCTCTTCAGCTGCCTACACTGAACCACCTGCCCTCACTTCCTGAATACCACAATTACGGAGCCAAATTGTTTCCCAGATGAGGAGAACATTTTCAAGAGTGCCTGATGCAAGTGATTTCTAAATAAGGTGGGGGCTCATCTTTATCTAAATCATTCCACATGAGAATCTAAGTTCATTGGCTTGGGTGACCCATGCGTTTTTTCCTTCTCCAACAGGCAGGAGTATCAAAAGCACCAAGAAAATGTCTCTTTGACAGGTTATCCTTCTAGCTAAGAGCAGCTAGGAATGTGCTTGCCATCTGGCCAAAAGGAGTCTCAGAAAACATGGGTGGGACAAGTTGCTAGAAGTGGTTATATTAGATTGATGGGGGGAATTGGTGGGACTGTCCCCACCAGAGCAGGACCTTCGATCTTTTCATTAAAATGGCAACTGTTGGCAGTGCACTGATCATGTTATACTTCTGATTCTGTCTTCCCCCCACCCCCAAAATCTCTGGTAGATATATTACTTGCATTTTGTAATCCTTACTCAAGGATATACTTATTGATTTTAAACAAGGGTGGGTGGAGAGAGAGAGACACATTGATTGGCTGTCTCTCCTCCTCGTACACACCCTGACTGGGGATCAAACCTGCAACCTAGGTACGTGCCCTGACTGGGATTTGAACCCTCACACTTTCAGTGCATGGGATGGTGCTCCAACCAACTGAGCCACCTGGCCCGGGCGATGTGTTCCTTTTTTTTAAATTTAAATGTTTTGTTGTTTATGCTATGACAGTTGTCCCAATGTCCCCCCTTTGCCCCCCTCCACCCCGCCTGCTCCCGCTCCCACAGTCACCTCCATGCTACTGTCCATGTCCATGGGTCATTCATACACGTTCTGTCACTAATCCCTTCACAATATATTACTTTTTAGTGAGAAAATCAATGCATTTATTATACAGCTAACACTACTGTAAGCAAGGCTAGTTTGTAATATCCAAGTAATTATTGTGAGACATTAATTGAATTCCTTGTACAGTTAGCCCTCAAGGCACTGGGTATGATAAACTGAGTTATTTTGATTATGATAAACCGAGACTTGAGACATCTCAGTATAGTTTGCTTGGGGGTGGGGAACACCTGAAAAAAAGAGAAAAGGAGTCACTTTCTTCAGTCATGTAGGAGGTTACACAAAGAAACTGTATGCAGCAAGACTGATTTAGGATTAGTCTATGCTTGATAGAGAATATCAAGATATCTTAAAGACAGCTCCAGTGAAAATATACTACACACTCCCCCTTCCTCCTAACCTCTGCAAAGGCCTTAGAGGGTCCCTCCAAGAGCGGGCGTGGCCCTGCCGAGGAGCCAGGTGCCTGTGCTTTGGTGCAACCCTCACGCGCCCCAGGCCTCTGCTGTCGCAGGGAAAACCAGATGCAATTCTTTGCACAACACCTACAAGAACACCATGGGAATGCTTTTTCATGATAACAGCTACTTCCTGTGGTCAACCCAGGGAAAGTGGGTGATGACCCAAGAAGAGAGAGCTGCAAATGCAGACAAGAGAGCTTCAGGCGAGTGGATGTTCTCCGGGGCTTCTTTCAAAAGAGAACAGACCTCAAGAGCTTGAAAGGCTGTCTCTGGCTCTCCATGAGGAGCACTAATTAAATGCCTTTTTGGTGGTCGCGGGGGTACCTTCAGCTAAAGATAGAACACCTCTGTGGCCTTTCCTGTCTTGCTCTTTCCACCCAATCTTGGGGAGCAACCAGTCACATGGAGGCAGACATTTGATTCCTCCTCAGTAGATTCGATAGAGGGAATTATGAATTAGAACATTAAAAGCCAGAAAAAAGAAGTCAGAATGTAATATTGAGGATCACGTACAATGCTCCACCCTGCGTAGCAGATGCTCAAATAGAAATCAGTAAAGACAGACAGAAAATTGTGTTAGGTTGGCGGCAAGGAAGGTGATGGTCATTTTGAGGGGATAAAACCTTTCACTACAGGGCTGTGGTCATTCGAACTGAGTGCCTTTGGTGCTGGCCATGGCGTAAGAGGACAAACATTGCTCTCTGACCAGCCTAATGTTCAAAACCAGGGGTTGTTAGATCTCGGGAAGAGCAGCCCCACCGCGCTGGCTGTTGCTGGGCAGACGTGCCTCTCAACTGCAGTGGCCTCCGAGGGCGGGGAAGAGGGTGGTGTGACGAGACCTTTCTCTTCTCCAGGGGAGATCAGGTAGAGGTAACCATGCCTGGCTCAAAACTATGGAAAACTAGGGGAAAGGTTGGATTTTGAAAAACAAAGGAGAAATTGCTGAGGTTAAAGCATTTTTGCTTTTAGCTTTAAGCCCATTTTTGCCCCCCCAAATAACATCACTTCACGGTCACACCAAAGATGATCAGCAGTGTTCCAAGGTAATCAAGTGCCTTGTTTGTCTGTCACGAACAGAAAAAGTGTGAAAAGGTGAACACCATTAATTGTAGTCCTGAAATTAGCAAACCACAGCTCTTCTCTACTCCTATTATGATCCGGTTCATTTTTCTATACAGTTAATCTAAAGTGGGAAATTTCCTTAATGCAGATAAATGAACGGCAGTCCAGCCCAAATATGAGGGGAAAGAAAGGCCCCTTACCTTGGTGCTGGTCCCACACAACGGCGTTTAGCTTGTAGAGCCCAACATCCTATAATGCCCCTTGTGCTCTGCCTGCCGGTGATGACTAAGAGCATCCAGCAGTCCCGGCATTTTACCATATGCTTCTTTGTACAACTGCTTTAATTCTTTGCATGAAAGTCCTGTCTCCTCAGAGACAAGAAACTGTTTCTTCAGTGTGCTCCAAAATTCCTGCTGCAGAACTGGTCCATGGTTGATTCTTACTGTGAGACACAGACCATCCAACGATGCTGGGTCCCTCAGGGTTAAAACTGGATGCTTCTACTGGGATGCTCTGGTCACAGTGTTTTTGACAGAAAAGTTTTGGTTTCTGAGAAGGCCGTCATGGCACATCAGGTTCGCATGGCAGTGAAATCAGTTTCTGGATCAAGAAAGCCACTCATTGTATGTTACATAAATGATAGAACTTATTGCTGTGTGTTCCTGCTGCCATTCTAATAAGGGACTTGATTATAGAATCATACTCTACTTATTAGTTTGTATTTTTGTCTCTGCTTCTAGAGTTGTGAGCCCCTTGAAGGTGGGGACTATTCATCTTTATATCCTTTAGTGCAATGCCTCACACATGATGGTTGTTGGATTGAGATACGCTATGGAAGGACTCTTTTAAACCATGAGAAGTACACTTTTGATGCATTAAGAGATGGCAAAGCAATGCTTGGCACAGTAGATGTGAAAATACTCACTGGGTGAATTGTTTCATTTTAGGCAAGTGGCATACAAACTTCTCTATGTAGACTAATGAATGACTAATGAAACGGGGCCTCTGACCAATTTATTGGCTCTGAAACAATGACAACATATATGGGCTTTTAAAAAGTATTGCCATTCATTGGAAAGGTACTTGAACATGTAGTTAACGTACTTCATAAACAATCAAAAGCACCAGATTTTGAGGAGACTTTATGGGATGATGGAAATGTTCTAACACTGGACTCTGGTGTAATGGTTGCATAATATAAATTTACCAGAAATCCATCAACTGTCTGTCCTCTTACAATGGGTGAATTTTATGGTATAGAAATTATAGTTCAATAAACTGGTTTGAAAAAAAAAAAAAAAGAACACTATTTGGTGTCATCTGGGAGTAGCACAAGTTCCCTGGTTCCTAGGAAATTGGCCCACGAGCATTTTGCTTCTCAACCCAAATCACATCAAACAGCCGTAGATGTGGGAAGTTAAAACTGTGGTTCCATTGTGTGCCAAAGAAAGCTGAAAGAGGGAGAATCTAACTGGGTAAATTTTACCTTTTCCCTACAGCCCTCTCCTGGGCACCAAGCGTAGTTAAGACCTGCTTGTGCTCAGTGCAGCACCGCAGCCGGCCAGGCCTCAGTCTGTCAGAGCAGAGGTCTCACCACGTGGGGCCTACACCAGCCGTGTGCGCCACCCACCGCCCGGGAGCTGGCCAGCAGTGCAAGGCCACGGGGCCAACCCTGACCTGAGTCAGAATCCCCGGAAACGGTTACAACAAACCCTTAGTGATCATCCAGCAAGTGTAAGTTTGGGGAGCAACATAAAAGGTCTCTCTCTCCGTCAGAATCAGGGTCCTCTTGGCTAAAGTCA